ACCAGCGTAGCAGAGTGACAATGATAAAATGCTAGCTTCTGTTCACCAGCGTAGCAGAGTGACAATGATAAAATGCTAGCTTCTGTTCACCAGCGTAGCAGAGTGACAATGACAAAATGCTAGCATCTGTTCACCAGAGCAGCACAACGACAATGATAAAATGCTAGCTTCTGTTCACCAGCGTAGCACAAAAGGCAGCTGCAGGATGCTTCTCCCTGCCACGGTGCTGCAACCTTCTTCGGCTTTGTGCTCAAACACTTCTCAGGGCTTCCAGCTCCGGAATGTGTTAGTGTCGGAAAAGCGACTTGGCGGAAACGCACCGCTTTGCGATCGCAACTGGAGCCTCTTGAGCACTTTTCACCAAGTCCGACTCGAGGAAAGTCTCAAAACATCGACAAACCAATTTCCTTGCAGCCGGAACTCATTTTCTTACAGAGGGTGGTCTCATTTTCCGCGCACCATCGGTGACATTATAACGCCGCTCTCTATCTCAAGGAGCCTCCAGAAGATCCGTCATCTGGGTTCTGAGCATTTCAGCCTAGACTGCACGGAAGGAACAGGCGGCGCACGTACGGGCATTTCTCCCTGAAGACGTGCTCAGGTAGAAGATAGGGAGCCTCTAGGTTCCTCATCTCAAGGACCTGAAAGACAGAAGCATGAAGTCAGAAAGCAGGGACTGTCTTTTATGGTACATCGATGGTTGTAAGTGAACACAGAAATTAGCCCTTGGCTAATGGTGGAAGGGGGTCCCAGGCCATGGCCGGTCCTCCACCAAATGAAAGCTCCCTATCGTACCTTGCCCACGTACTGACAGAACGGCGGGTTGGCGATCATCTGGCTGAGGAAGTTCAGGTAGGCCGCCACCAGAGCCATGATGCTGCAGCGGATGAACATGGGCATGTTCTCCTCGTTGGCCAGGGACATGTCCTGCAAAACGGGGGGAGCATAATGAGTGAGCCATGTGACTGGAAGGATCTATGTTCAAACAGAGGGGGTGAACCCAGCCCATGTGACCATACACAAAATATTTTGCACGTGATAGTATTATACGAACATCCTACGTTTTTAGACTGAACTCAGCACTAATCTGAAAGGTACACTTAATGCGTGATTATTTTATTAAGCAATTCTGGGCACGGGGGCCCACTTCCTATCCTTCTGTTACTATGACGAAGGCGAGGGGGGAGCACACAGGTGACCCACTTAGGAGAGAATGTCCAACGTTTAACAGGAGCAGCGACAGTCACTTCCGCTTCGCTCATGTGCTGCTCATTCCTGCTTGATTACATCACTTGCGCTCGCTGACCCAGGATAGGAGGGAAAGGGAAGCTGCCACGCCGCCTGATTGGCAGATCACTCTCAGCGATGATTTAGGCAGATTTTGGCTGTAGGGAGGTCTCAGGAACCAAAGGAGACCCGCTCTCCCTTTACGCGTTATCATAACAAAAACCTGACCTCACTGCGTGTCTTAATATTACAAAGGAAGACCTCAAGATGATAACAGAAATGCTTATTCAGAAGTTCCCGTATAAAATGTGTAGTCTTTGGGGTCAGTGAAGATCACATGGTCTCCAGCTGACTCCTTTAAGGCTCTCCTTTGGGGGGAGGGGGGCTGCATAGCTTGCCGAGCCTTGATGGCGCTTAATGAAAACACAAGGTGCTGGGGGAGCCACCGACTACAATTAACACTCACCAGAGCCTCATCAAGTTCTCTGTTCCTCCATTAAAGAAATTAAATACCCAATTCTGCAGCATAATTAAAACAATAGCCGCTGCCCCCTTGGGGTCATATAATGCAAGCGCGGCCGTTAGGGCCTCCCTGAGCATAAGCTTTGAAACCTGTGGCACAATTAACACAACAGTGTTTCAGGCTTTTCAGCAATATTGAGGGCAAGCCATTCTGTATTACGCAGTCAAGATCTGCAGCATCCTCATTGGTTAGTCTAATAAGCTGAGGCAAGGAAAGAGGGCATGGCCACACCCCCGGGACTGAGGCGTGTGACTCATGCTCACTTTAATTAAACTCGTTTAATCGATTCTTGACCACACAAGACCAAATCCATCAAATTTTAAAAATACGTTACAACCCAATCGACACAGCTAAAAAAAAAATCGCACAGAAGTCATGAGGTCATCTGTGTTCTGTTCAAACATGCAGCTACTCAACCATCAAAAACAGCAGTATTAATAACAAAGGATCGTCTATGTCAAAGCAACATTTAAACAGCAGCTAGGATGCACGGCGTACAGTCCGGGCAGATATAATTATGAAAATAACAGTGGTAGAACCTCGAGGTGGAGCAACACTGCTGAGCGTGGAGTGGGCGGAAATGAATGGATGGGTAGGGGGGGCCTTACTGCTCCCCCTGCAGGTGCTACTGGGCAGGATGCGGCCTCCATAAGGGAAGAGAACTGCAAGCCTCTATCTGAAAAAGGAGCTTTCTGACACGCTGAGTTCGATGAAACATCACGCCTGGATCCTTCTACAGTATTGGTGCATCTTCCTGCGCCACCACACATAATTTCCACCACCTTTTAAGTCGACTTGTTCACGGCTCGTAAACATTTCCGGGAAGATAAACCATCACACCCCCAGGATGACATCACTTGGCCCCAATCTGCAGTCTTAGTAACAGAGCGTGGTAGGGAAAAAAATACTTCACTCTTTTCCAAGGGGAAGTGTGCTGGTTGCTCTTCTAGGGCGTGACATTTAAGAGCTTGCCGAGTTGTGGAGCAGGGTGTGAGATGAGATACCTGCAGTGCGATGGCCAGCCGGATGAGGTCGATGACCACCTCCTCGTTGGCCAGCTCGATGGTGATGAGGGCCAGGGCCGTGAAGAGCAGCTCGAAGTTCTTGTGGACGTTGTCCTCCTCCTTGCAGCCTAGGTAGATGTGCCTGTACAGTTGCTGCCCATGCTGGTGGAGAAGAGATGGGGACAGTCAAAACACCAAGCCTGAATGCATGGAGGAAAGTTGGAATGACTGGAAAATAAGAGAATAGTTTAAGACAGGGGTGTCAAACTCCAGTCCTGGGGGGGCCGGAGCCCTGTGTAGCTTAGTTCTTTCCCTGTTCCACCACAAATGATTCAGCTCAAGAGCTGTGTGGTAACTACCATAAGGAGTTGAATCAGGTGTGTTAAATGAGGGTGAACCAAAAACTGTGTAGGGCTCTGGCCCCCCGGGACTGGAGTATGAGACCCCTGGTTTAAGATAAATACAGGCTGAACTGTAACGCAATATTTTACTATGTTTTAGCCAAGTTAGCGCTGGCTAACGGCAGGATTCCACGGCGCTAGGCGGCACACAGGACAGCTAGGCTGGTCATGAGAAGTGAGTAATCCCACCATTGCACCTTCTGTCCTTTCCGAAATATACCGGGGGGGGGGGCTTTAACCGCAAGCCAATACACGGACGGCGTGACAGATCGCAGGGAATTACATGCTGAAAAATGAATACTAATTCATCCAGAATGCTTTCGAATTAATTTCAAAAGCAAGAAACGGGACAAATGAAATATGCTGTTAACCAACGCGTGAATAAATGTTGACACGCGCGATTAAATGAGGTAAACATAACATATGGCCGCGCGCATGATGTGTGGTTATTCACAAAACGGGCTGTGTCCCTAAACACAAATTAACACATCTGCGGACGGAGACAATCCTGCAGCGTGTCGGACTGATGGCGAGGCAGACAGGACACATTAGTCAAGCCGGTAGCTCATCGTCAGTGGCCGTTCGCATCTCAAGGTTCCCTCAATCAGAGGAGGAGGGCAGAGAGGGAGAAAGAGAGGGAGAGAGAGAGAGAGACAGCCAGACAGAGAGAGGCACAGACAGGCAGACTAAGAAGGTGTACGATGGATGGTGTGATCTGCCGGACTATCCTGCCCTCATTCCCCGGCACATTCCCACGGTAGCCGTTTTCGTCCGATTCTCACGGAAAGCTCCAGCTGAAATGCGAAACCATCTGCTGCCGCAGACTCCCTATTTTCAGCTGTGATGGGCACCAGCGGAATGACGCACTCGGACTGGCGGCCGTGGAAGCGCCACACCGCTTCGCCGCGAGCCACCGACGGCGGCACGACGGACGCAGCGACGGCCATCTCTGCCCTGAGGCGATGGGGCCGGTCACCTCTCCGCTTCACCAATAGAGGGCAGCAGCGAGCCGTGCATCCGAATAACCTGCTCAAGGCTGACATTACATCTGCGCTACACTGGATACGCGTGGAAGAAGACGCAAGCTTGAACTGCTCCCTGTTTTTGTATCCATTTAACATCAGCCATCAATTTATGGCTCATATTTAGATTAAATTAAATTCATCAATAGCCTGGTTTCAATTATACCATTGACATCAGATTGATGTTCCTTCAGTAACAGAGATGAAACTGCACAAGTACAAAAATCTGGTGCAGGTATGAATGAGCCATTTTCATAGCGTTTAAAATAACTCCTCATTTTTTGGAGCCAAAGGACGGGACCTAGTAATTCAGGGATCCCTGGAACGGAAGCGAAGGGAATCTTCTCATCTAAAGGAAACGCAGGAGCGAGGCACAGTGTCTGCCACCGCTCTCCAAGCACAGATGTTCTCGTGCGGCGATGCGCTGCGCTAACAGGATCAAGCAGACATCGTTCGGAATTCGGGGGGAGGGGGGGCGTAGCAGAGTGGGGAATGCGGGGGCAGCCTTGCAATGCACTCTCTCAAGCGGGGGTAAAGCCATCGAGGGGACGGGTGGTAAAACCAACCACCCTCACCACCCAGCAGTAATAACCCGGGACCGGATGATGGTTAGACCGGCACCCGGGATGCGGCTCAGCCACGAGAACCCCGAGGCCATCTGACCCAGACTAACGGCCAATCCCATCCACCACGGTACCAGTGCGATTACCATCCATCAGAGAGACTGAGGCCCTTTACTCTGCAGAACAGCGCTAACCGGAACGGGACCGGGCTTAGAAAAGCTAATAAGGACAGGGACCGCATCGATCGCCGTGGCGACAGGGGCTGGCTTTCCCCACGCCATCCCAACCCCACGGCCGTGCGCTTCTCAGCTTCGGCCCACGGATCGATGCCATTCATCTTCTCGCCCTCTCCGATTATAATTAGCGGGATTAAGAACGGGTAACGCATTCCGCAAAATCGTTAGGATAATGACAGTGGAAAGCAGGAATCGGCGTTCGCGCACAGCGAGCGAGATCCAAGGTTTCGGAAGAGTGCGTGGAACAGGAGGCGTGGGGAGATGGACAGGGACTCGAGAAGGGAAAGGGGCCGTTATTGACAAACATCCGCGCTTGATGAACGGCTGCGGATGAAGTGCAACACCTTGTTAAAAAAAATCTCTTCCTCGTTCCTCAGACCATAGGTGAGGGAAACTGCTGACTGAAGTTTGTTTTGCTGGAGATGGGCTACCGTACAACGGCAGCTGCCACATCCGGCCCCGTCCTAACGGCCCGACAGGCACGGCCGATCCCGTGTCTAGGTGGCCCGTAAGTATACAGCTCACACATCCATCCCATAGGGGGCGCTGATGAGATTGTGAGCCCAGGCACGCTGCTCACGGCTCTGTCTGCGGCTGGGTGTTATTGGCTGTTGACATCCCTAAATTATGGCTTGAGAGGAACTGATGAAATCTGGGACCCAAGCTCATATATCTTGGGTTTTACTGCCAGTGTTACTCATGTAATATAAATAAAATACACAAAACACACATATAAGAAGAGCTACTACCTTCTTCATAAAGCTGACATCTTGTTTGGATATCTTCTCCCTCTTGAACTTCAAGGCCGCAACGTCGGGAATAATCCTGCAGCCAAAGCGAAGCTTTTTAATGGGCTTTGGGGCAGTACAGGCAATGGCGTCCCACAGGCAAAAGCGCAGACAGACACCATTAATGCACATGCAGATTTACTACAAACTTCCCGAAAATTTAGTACCATTTCACACTTAAGTTTTGCAGATTTGAGTGTTACCTTCCCCACCTGCCAGTCTATTCCTGAGAACATGTTTATTTATGGTTGTCAAAAACCTGCTTATCCAGACCAGTTCCAATTCCAATCCAGCCTTTAACGAGGGGCGGAGCCCTGGCGTGTGATTGGACGGGAGCTGTCAGTTGGGCATTACCTTATGCCCCGGAGCTTGGCCCGGTTGTCGTGGCGATCGATGATGTTGTGAAGGATTTCCAGCACCAGTTGCCTGAGCTCACTGTCCTCCATCAGGGAGACGGAGAAGAGCGGATCCAAGAAGGGTGGGGGCAGGGCAGCAGACATGGTCTTCGCCTTGAAGCCGGACGTCACCTGGGGCACCGTGGAGAAGGTGAGGTGTTACGGCACGGCGGGGGCAGACCCCCCCAGCAGCCATGACCCAAATCTCACGCCTTAGAAATCCATTCATGCATCTCAGAAACTGTCTTTTCTGACAATGTCAAAGTCAACCTTTCAGCAGTAAGTCAGGCATCTGTCAGGTGCTATTTAAAAAGCTCTCCAGATGTTCTCTGGACTCCCATAAGCACAGATCCAGGTCCACAACACTACGTGTTCTGTAGCATCAAAGGTTGCCCTTTCACACCAAAGCCTGACTTACGCGACCTGTACACTCCTTACGGCACCCCCGTATAACTCGACATTGACACGCACCGGGAGACGTTCTGAGAAAAGGATTACGGTGTAAGGACAAAAACTGTGACCTGAGAAGACAGAGATGAAGAGATACAGCTCCAGAATGAGCGGATTTCTGAGAGATGCAGGGCCAGAAGAAAAGCCACTCAAACCTTAACCATCTCGACACGTGCAGATTTTGGACAGGTATGTTAAAACGAATAGCGGATCTCCATGCCATGCCATCACGTTACGTACGTAACGTACGTACGTAAAGGTTACTAAGCAAATAAGCCGCGCGCCACCATCGCTATGGACCGCCGAGCCGCGGGAAACGGAAGATGCCGGAAGCGTCACACATTCCCAGAAGCCGCCGGGGCTTGTGGCCACGTTGCATTAAGACAATCCTCTTAGAGTAGCGCCTTGTAATCTCAGACCTTCTGACCAGGTCGGATGACCTTCTGTAGGCTTCGATTTATCGGGCAGAGCCTGTGGGCAAACATGACCCCCCCCCAGCTCTAAACCGCGCCATGGTGGGCAAGATAGAGGGGTTCACCTCACGGCCACAGCTGCAGTGAATTATAAATAGTTTAACCTTTTTCAACACTCCCGGATGCAAGCGGGGGCGACACGTCCCCCGCGCATCACTTCCTGCCGGAGGAGACAAGGCCTCCTCTCTGCCTGACAATCCGCTCCTGCGATTTTTACCCATCATACCTTTAGGTTGACAGGAAACTAGTCATTAGATGAAGACTTGCGGGGGGGCTCACGGGCCAGGTCATGTCATGTCATTACTGGACTGGGGGGGTTGCCTAGAGCATGGAGACATCTACAGGCTGGTCAATTTAGACAGCTGCATGTTCACCAGGGCAATTCAGAGTAAATATTTCCCTGAACAGTTATGGAGAAACAACGCAAATCCTTCAAGTCAAGGGCAGAATCTTAAGATGTCAGCCTAGTCACTGATGGGTTCACCCAAGAGCAGTGGTTGGCGCGACCCTCTTCTCCAAGAACGCAGTCCAAGGTCACCTGACGTCCTCTGGGAAATGAAGAAGCTTAGACGCACGACGGACTGTCACGCGGCCGTCATTTCCGTCACTGAGCACCGGGGGCTCGCGAGCGGGGGCTCGTTGGGGTCTGTTCAGGCCGGAGCAACTTGCCATGATCAGTGAGCTGAGGAGCATCATCTGAATCCGCTTCATGCCCAGTTGCCTGTGGAAACAAACATGCAGCGTAAGGAGAATGTTTGGGGAACGTATGGAGATGTCAAAAAAAAGAAACACACACATTCCTTGTGAAAGGATATTCTGCACATGCTACACCAACTCCCTGTTTACTGTGTTATCATGTAAATTTCTATTCACACAAAAAAGCATCCAGAGTTACTAAAATTACTGAAACAGACAGTGTTCTAGTCAGATTTAGCTTTACCAGCATGAGCTCACAAACCATAAAGCAAGTAGTTTAGTTTAAACATGTTACTACTCTCTAAATCAAAGATGCTTAAACCAATAGAACTTAAACAGGATATGAGGAAAACTGCAAAAAACGAACTCAACTCAAATCGCTGATAGCTATATCTAGGAAACATCAAACAGCAATAAAATACTTATAAGAAAGTGCTTCGCGGTTACAGAACGTCTAAGAATGCCCTTCTAAGAATTTTAGTACAAATGCACCACTTAAGACTTGGCTGACACTCAGGTTTTTGCAGACCCCATAAATGACACCAGCCTGACTATATTTTTAACTGGATTTGAATCTGATGCTTCGAAGAGTTATAAAAATGCATTTACTTACTTATAATCCCTCGTTACAAAATGACCCAAATTACCAGATTAGTCAGCCCTCGTGCATTCGCGCTTTGTGACTCGCGAATTCACAGATTCACGAAAATTTCATTGGAGCTGTAACTCCTCATGTATGCTATGCAGTTATTTTCATATTTCGTACTGCACAGCTAATTCATAATCATCATTATCTTAAATCAATATTCATCATTGGTACCCATAATACTGCTTTTTATTAAATATTTTTAATGTATGTATTTTTGATTGCTCTCTTTCGTGGTTAGCGCACATTGTATTTTTACAACTTATTTCTGTACGTCGTTACGTAATTTTTTATTGATTGAATACCTGTACCCGGTACATACAGTACGTCTCCTTTACGTATTGTATTGAATTGTACCTTGGTTACGTATATGACTTCTGTCAATAAGTTTACAGTACTGTTCATTTACTCATTTAACCTTACTGTGAATGCAAAAGAAAACAGCAACCAATGCCGTGTTCTATGAATTAGTAGGGGTAACATTAGTATATTGTACTGTAAATGTGCTAGTGTGACAAATATCAGTTAGGCGATACTGTACTCTATTTTTGCATCAAACATTTGATTTGATAGTGTATTAAGCTAACTTTGAAATGAAATTAAAGTGTTTTGGGAGCATGACTGGGGTCATATTTAGGGTTTAAACTATAGAAATAAGCACATATTACCATTTTTAGTGACTCTACCAAATATCCGCAAATCCTCCTCATTCGCGACGGTTCTGGAAACTAACCTCGCGAATATCTGAACTGAAATAAATCTTCTAACCTTACATTTTGAGATGGGAATCTAAGGGCTCTTTTCTGGAAATAGGACAGGGGGAGTTTTGGACCCCTTCACGTCTGCAGAGATGCCGGGCGGCGTGACGCACCCGATCTTGGCGGTGTCCAGGCTGGGTGCCTCGTCCACGGGCACTTTGCCCATGATGAACATCATCACCTCCGCCCGCTGATAGTCCGGAAGGTTACCCCCAAAGAAGCCTGGAAAATGGAGCAAAGATCCCCTCAAAGTCCCTTTTAGGTCCGAAAATAAAGGACACGCTCAAAAAAAAAAGAAAAAACCCTCCACGTATGCTGGAGACATAAATTACTATAATTAAAGTTAACGGGGATAAAACCCATTACCATTAACCTGCAGCCACAGAGGATTAATGCGGATAAATTGATAGGTTAAGCAGCTCAGACTGTGCGGTTTTTGCATAAAAAAAAAAGCAAAAATTTGCTTATGCTTCAGGGAAAATAGTGTAAAAGTCTGCCATCCTGACCAAACTAACAAAGATCACATAATATATGTATCAGACAGTCGGACGAGTTTTAAAATCTGCAGCTACATTAAAGATATCAAACAGGTAAAGGCAGTACCATCTACAGGTATATATTACCATTCAAAATTTTGGTATATTACTAGAAGTATATTACTGAATGGTATACTACTATAGGTATATTACCAAGGAAGAAAAGGGAGAATCCTATACCATTACCTGGATAGTACCATCAACAGGTATATTAAAGAAATCAAGTAGGTATAGGTAGAACCTGAACCTATACTGGACTGGTAATCTGAATGAAATAACACATAACCAGTACACCTTAAGGTAATGGGTAATAGTTTGCACGTCAGCGAGCACGAGCCCCAAATGGGTAATGGAGCCTGGGGTCCGACTGACAGACCGATGGTCTGGATGATGGCGTTCTGGACGATCCTCTCCTCGCTCTCCTTGGTGCGCGACACCACGCTGGCGGAGGAGGTGCGTCTGGAGTCGCCGCCCATCTCGAAGTCCACGCTCATGCGCAGATGCTTCAGCAGCGTGTTGAACACCTCCAGCACCGTGGGGCCTGCGGGGGGGAAGCACACGGCCGCCTCAGATGGGAACAGGGCACCTGTGCCAACAGTGAGATCACACTGCACCAGTGTGGTTTTAACCAGAGACCCGTTACTTCCGGAAGGTTCCCCTTTGGGGAACAAGCCTGTCAGCAGTGAACTTTTTAGACCGCAGATCGGAAGATTGGCACCTGACCAGGAGAAGTGGTTAGAGGATAGAAAATGTATTAATAGCATTTACAAAAATTCAATGTGTTAAAGGTGTTAAAAAATAGTTTGGAAAGGAATTCTAACCAGGAATAAATGACATGCATGTATTTTACAGATTCAAGCTGTAATTTCATAAATAGGGAACCAATTATCTACTGCATTTGCATTCTACCAGCTTCTGCAATGTTATCACTGCCACTGCAAAGTTATTACTAACACTGCGGTGTTTTTTTAATGCAGTGAACTATGCTTCACTGCTTAATGAATGTGAATCCACACAATCTGGCAGGGCCAACTGTACGAGGCCTAACCCCAGGACTGCAAAGTGTTCATGTAAACCTGAACACAGAACACTGTGATTATATAGACTAACAGCAGAAACAGCCATGATGGAATTGCGTGTCAGTCTGACAAACCTGAGATTAAGGACTCAGGTGTCACTGAAACAACTTAAGATGCAGCGAGCAGAGAATACAAGCTCACTTTTCCCCACTATTTCTAACTGGCAACCCTGGTTCCCTCTCCAGCTAGTACCCATTCGAGAATTGGTGGTATTGGAATTGAAAATGTGGGAAATAAATTTTCAAAATATGATCAATAAAATATAAGCTACATAAACAGCACATGCACACAACACCGCGTGTTGGGGTAGACATCTAGAAAGACAAAGACTTACAAAGACCCTAAAGTACAAAGCTAACTCATTATATCAAGACGTGTAGCATCAACGACCACCACTGGACGACCCCTGGAGACGTCACAAGCTGCTATTTGAATGGGGTTCTAGGTCTGGGTCCAGCACCCTGCAGAACATACCTCTCCCTGGCGAGAACGGAGCCGGCCACTCACCGACAGATCCCTTGGCGGCGATGGCCACGGTCTCCAGGAGAACCTGCACGATGCCAGCTCGCACCCGAGGCGTGTCCTTGTTATGGGTGTCCAGGTGGCTCAGCACCTGCTGGATCACGTGGTGCGAATGCTGGGCCTGGGATTCGGGAAAAGCAGAGGCGGCGGCGTTGATGTAGCTGAGGGTGACGGGGAATCGCAAACAGGACGGAAACACGGACAGGACACGACAGACCGCCTCCGTATGAGAGTTAGCGAATGCTAGGTTTGGCGCAGACTAACTCGCATTTAAAGCAGCATCTCTACCTAGCCACTGGAAAGGAAATTCTGGTCATTTGAAAGATCTGGAATTTCATACAATTCAGGTACATCACACCATCAATAGCTGCTTTGGCCTGAGGTTTCATCTGGTTTGTTCCATGGACGTTGAGCCTGGCTACCTGCCAAGTTAGTGTGACAATATACACCACGATGGGCTGGCATCTTTACCAGGGTTTCTCCTCCCTTGTGCCCTATACCTTTTGGTATAGGTTCCACCTTCTGTACTCGGTATCTGATAAGCGATGGGGAGATGGACAGACGAATGTGGCACTGGGTAACTGGTCTACTAACATCCCGGATCAGAAATACAGACAAAGAGGCGTAAGCTTAAAAAGCATCTTTCAGGCTGGTGAAACGGTTTCCCTTCCATCAGCACAATGGATCGTTGTGCCATTTTAAGCACACAGAGTTTTATTTTATAAAACCCAGTGAAGCGCAATTTGTCAGCGGCGTCCTGAATACTGAGAGGGTGGGGATCTGCAGCAGCATCTCCAAGCCTCTGAGCTTGGAAATCCTGTTATCTGAGATTCTCAGCATGCACATCTTAGCGGAGCGCATCTGCTGAATATGTAAGGGGTGGGCCGGGGGGGGGGGGGTTGTTTTGGTCCTGACAAACACTTCCATCTCTCTCGCCGTGAGCGCGAAATCCTTTGCAGATTACCCACAATGCCCCACTTCTCCGGCGAAGGGAGACTCTGAGCGAATCGATCGGCTCTTATCGCGAATATGCTGGTTTGGCCACCCGGTGAGCGTGGACAGGGCAGCCAATTAAAGCGAGACAGGCTTGAAACGAGAAGGGGGTGGG